GTTTTGTTTTGCTTTGTTTTTTAATGGTAGGGTATGTTCATTTGTCAACTCTTTAGCCAGAGAAAGGAGTTATTTCTTTGTTTTCTTTGGGATTGAGATTCATGGGGTAGCTGAGGCTGAGGAAAGGGAGGAGGTGGGAGAAAGGGTTCTGCTCTGAAGAACAGATCACAGATTGCATTGACCTGTGGGATGGCTAGAGCTAAGAGAAGAAGTCAGAAACCCTTTACGACAGATAATGACAAATGAACTGACTTCCAAGTTTTCTTTTTCTTCTCTGTAATCCTCTTATGAAAGCCTCACATATTTAGTAAAACATGTTAGTATAGCCTTGGAGAAGGAAATAAACAGGCTCTATTTATGCTTGAGGCAGAACAGCATGGGGAGCAGACAGCAGCTTGCAGAGCCATGATAGAAAGCCCAGAAGGGTTCATGAGAAGCCTCAAGCAGGAGTAAAGAGTGAACAGTGAAGGGCAACAACTGGAATAAACAGAAACCCTCCTTTTCTGGAGACAAAAATTTGTACTTTAAACAGATGAAACATTTGTTTGACAAATTTATATAGTCTGTGACTAACATTGTTCTAGGTGCTGGGCATAACAGGTATGAACAAAACTACCATAGCTCAGGCTTCAGGGAGCACAGGTCCCTGTGGAAGAAACAGACAATAAAGAAACAAGCATAAATTATGTCATATGATGATAAGAGCCTTGGAGAAAACAAAGAATGTTTGTAGAGAGTAGCATCTGCTGGGAGAGGAGGCTCCAAGCCATTTTATAAAAGGAGATTAAGGGGACCTCTGTAAGAAGATGACATTTGATAGAGATCTGAAGGAAGTTGTGAGTGATCTATACAGATGTCTGCAAGAAGAATGTTCTAGGCAAAGGGAACAAGTGAAAAAGACTGGAGACTGGAGTGTGCCTGATATTTTTGATAGCTAAGTAAAGAAAGAAGCTCCATATGTCCATGTGACTCACTGCTATCTCCATCAGTATATATTGGCATCAAATCTTGTTTTCCACTGAGAAAGTCATTAACTTCATCAGAAACTGAACATGATTGGCCAGCTTATCCTAAAGTTTCATCAAAAAATGGAAGCAGATTGTGAAATTCTTTACATGTATACCAGAGCTTTCTGATTTTCCACAAGACAAATCATGAAGCATCTGATTATCCTCCATGCAAATATTTATCTTTTTTTTTTTTTTTGACAGAAAAAAGAGAGACAATTCCAAGAACAGTTTTTCAGAACAGAGTCCATTAATGATTTGCCTTATTTGGAAGCCATATTTAGACACATTCATGTGGTATATCATTTTACTCAAGGTCTTACCTCATTGTCAGAGATTCTATTGCAAGAATATGTGCATTCAGAGAACACTGGAGATAGAGGACAATATAAATGTCATGGTAATAAAGTGTTTCTACAGCCTAGAATTAAGAATGGCAAGGCTTTAACCTCTCTGAAAGCATAAAGTTGCAGATATACCTGTAAATTAAAAAACAAAACAAAACAAAAAATTTTGAAGTTACTCCTACTCAGGCAACCTTGAAATTAAAACATGAATTCATTATAATTTTCTTACTGACACTGGCAACATTCATGTCACAGTCCTTCTTAAAGGTAGTTTCTTTGGTTTGAGGACAAAGGAAATGATGTTACATGAATTCAGCTATTCAACACGGAGGCTTGGATGACCTCTAGAATCCCCTACACAAGCCCATCTTCATCTGGCAAAGTGAACTATGAGAGGCTCGGTTCCACTTCCCAGCTCAAACTTTTTTTTAAATTTTTTTTTATGTTTATTTATTTTGGAGAGAGAAGGAGAGACAGAGACACAGAATCTGAAGCAGGCTCCAGGCTCTGAGCTGTCAGCACAGAGCCTGATGCGGGGCTCAAACTCACAAACCATGAGATCATGACCTGAGCCGAAATCAGATAGATGCTCAGCTGACTGAGCCACCCAGGGGCCCCCACCTCAAACTTTTAAAGTCAGAGGGTTCCATATGTCTTGCCATCAAAATAAAGATAAATGTCCAAGAAATCCTTGGACAAGTACATTTCTGCATCAGTCTTTCAACATTTCTCTCCTTTCCCTTCTTTCCTTCCTTCCTTCTTTCCTTCCTACCTTCCTTCCTTCCTTCCATCCATCCATCCTGACTCTCACTCTCTCCTTTTTGTGAATAAACCTGAGTTTTCCCATTAAGGTTGCTTTAAAGCACATTTAAAGTTACTTTTAAAATTTGAATAGTTTGGAATTATGTTAATTTTTTTGGGAAATGACCATTCGTTCTTTGTATGAAAATCAAAGATTGAAAGATGTAGTTACTTGCAGAGATTGATTTTACATTCTGTCTCTGAAAAGAAATCAATTTTCCATTCAACAGAATACATTGTATGCAATTTTTGTGTATATATGTGTTTACATGCAGTTTCTTGGGAACGAGTCCGTGGCTTCCATCAAATTCTCAAGTACCTTTCAAAGGAATCCAAAAAAAAAAAAAAAAAAAAAAGTCCAGGCCTACTGCCTGAAAGTGAACCCCAGCTCTGTTCTCAGAATAGTTCTGCTGTTTCCGGTGGAGTCTGTTAATTTTCTCAAACTTCACAAACCTCAGCATTGGGATATGGTCCTCACTGACACTTCCATACCATCTCTCAGCCCAGAGACTTGAGCATCCAGGTGGACAATATATCCAAAAGCTGTCCCCAAACCTCCCTTTATTTCCATAACTGCAATGACCTTCCCTCCCATTCTAAATCTGCTGCCCACATCCCATGGATATGCCCTGTTACTTTGTCATTGTTTAAAATGTTCATCTATGATTTCCTAAATGTGAACATCGCAATTTGACAAACACAACTCTTATCCTTTCAATTTTCTGACTCAGCTACTCATATAATACCTATAGCTGTGAAGTAGCCCAACAGTTACAGCAAGAGCTCTGGAAGCAGATGACCTAGGCTGAAGACCAATTCTGCCATGTTCAAGGTGTATGAAGTTGACCAAGTTTCTTAATCTCTCTAAGCTTCTGTTTTTGCGTTGTGGTTTTTAATGAAAATAGCAATTGTTGCTGAATGGATAATATAACCCATAACGTTTAGCATGATGCTGCTGAGGAAACATGCCATAAATCATAGGCATTTTTATTATTGTTTGACCTTACAAAGACTTTCAGTCACTCACTCTTCTAGTGTCTTCTATATTTACCCATTTCTTTTTTTTTTTTTATTGTTTTAATGTTTATTTATTTTTGAGAGAGACAGAGCACGATTGGGGGAGGGGCAGAGAAAGAGGGAGACACAGAATGAGAAACAGGCTCCAGGCTCTGAGCTGTCAGCACAGAGCCCAACGTGGGGCTGGAACTCACGGACCACAATATCATGATCTGAGCCGAAGTCAGACACTTAACCAACTGAGCCACCCAGGCGCCCTTATATTTACCACTTTCTAAATGCATTTGCCTCCCTCTCTGTCTTAACCAGTGTGATCTTTCACTCTCCTGCCAACATCCTCAGTTCTTTTTCTCCACTGCAGTCTCCTTGCAAAACCCCAGCCCTAGATCACCACGCACACAAAAAAGCACATGACTCCGTATGCTGTGCTTAGCATAGCGTTGGTGTCTAGCATTGTGAATGAATGAATATTATAAATTCAAGGCCCTGATGGCACCCTTAGAGCTGCCCCAAAGTATTACTTCCTAGTGTCCTAGTCATCTCTCTCCTTTTTTTCCACAGCAGCTCTTTCAAACTCTCTATCATCTTCAAATCCCAACCTCTACCACCCAATGTCTCAAGAATTGCCATTTATGTGTTGTCCTCTCATGCCACTGTCCTACTCTACTGGACCTTCTCCATCAGCATTCAGTCCTGCAGGAGTCTCTTTAGTATCCAAATGAAAACAAAACCAGAGCCCAAAATTAAACACCTTTCCTCTTCACTTCCTCTCCAGTTATTGCCCTATTTTTCTCCTCCTTTCCCATCAAAAGTTCTTGAAAGAGTTGTCTAGACTCAGTCTATAGTTTGTCACCTCCCCTTTACTACTCAATATGATTTTCAATGTCACCAGGCAATTCAAACCATTCTTGCCAAAGTTACTTGTAACAACAGAAGCTTGGCATTTGGGCAGCCACTGACTTTTGACCTCTAGATATTTTTCTTGAATGCTTTCTTCCCTTGAGTTTTTTTAAAATAACAGTTTTATTAAGATGTAATTCACATACCATAAAGTTCATCCTTTTAAAGAGTCAACTCAATGGTTTTTAGTATATTCACAAAGTTTTGCATCATTCACCACTATCTAATTTCAGAATATTTTATTACCACCACCCCTCCTCCCCACAAAAGTTACCCTGTACCCATGAACAGTCACTCACAATATACTCCTTCTCTGGGAAAGATTAACCTGCTTTCTGTCTTTGTGGATTTGCTGATTCTATTCACTTCATATAAATGGAATCATACAATATGTGGCCTTTAGTGTTGACTTCTTTCAGTTAGCATATTTTCAAGGTTCTTCCTGTTGAAGCATGTATCAAAAGTTTATGGCTGAATAATATTCCACTGCATGAATATATCACATATTGTGCATCCATTAAACTATTGATGGGCATTTGAACTGTTTCCACTTTTTGGCTATTGTGAATAAAGCTGCTTATAAACATTGATATAAAGGTTTTTATTTTTAAAAACTATAAACAACTTAAACAGCCATCAATAGGAGTCTAGCAAGAAATGTCATGGTATACTCATAGATTGAAATGCTTTCTATTAATAAAAGAATTTCTAGGTGATACTCTTGTGGGTTGTTTCTATTTTTTTCTTATACTTTATTCTCATTTTTTTCTGAGAACATGTATATGTATATGAGAAAATATTAATGGGGACATTTTCACTTTAGGAAGGATTTTATGTTTATGTTATGATCAGATAAAATCAGATCAAAATGAGATCAAACCAGAATCAAATTAATACCCACCACCCATATCCTCCTAAAGAACAATACCTTAAATCAGAATCCTTTCTGGGAGAATTAATGGACATGTGACTCTCCGCTGACAGTCTCCTTTTGTTGCAAGCCATTTTGGTCATTGCTATGGCCTTTCTGGTGGAGAGGAGGTGAAAAGAAATGTTGTCAGGGCATGGAGGAACTCAAATATCTTGTAAACAGTGTTTATTTGCCTTGCCTACAGGCTAAAAGCAAAAGGCCCTAAACAAAGGAGAGAGGTAAAAGCAGACCTCAGGGAATTAGGAGAAATTGTCAATAGTCTCTGGTATTTACTTCTGCTTCCTTTGTCTGCTTCTTCAGCAGCTTGTGTTAATATCAAAAGGAAAAGCAATTTGGTATCAAACTAATGCACTTGCTGATTAAAAAAATCACCAAAACATATCCCCAGTGCCTGGCATGCACCAGAAGCCATGGCAGGAGCCTTAGATAATGAATACCATTATGATCTTATAAACTAACTCATCAGAATCCTTCAATAACCCTGTTCAGGGGGATTCCTGCATCACCACTTTATAGGTAGGGAAACTGAGGCCCTGGAAAATTGAGTCCTTTGCTCAGGTCAGCAAAATTTGTAAGTGGTAGTCTGGGTTTCTTAGCCAGTTTTCTCTATTCTTGTAGGTTCTTTTCTTTTTTTATATAGCAGATTTACTTATTTATTTAAATGTATTCTATTTATTGTGGTAAGAACACTTTACATGAGATTTATCTTCTTAACAAATTAGAAGTATACAAGGCATTATTGTTGACTATAGGTACAATATTGTAAAGTGAATCTCTAGAGCTTATTCATCATGCTTAACTGAAACTTTATACCCCTTGATTAGTAACTCCCTTTTCCTCCTCGTCTAGGTCTCTCCCAAAGCTGAGGAAAGAGAATAACAAAGAAGGAGACTTCCAAAGAAGTGAGTATCTTGGAAAGCAGGAGGTCCCACTAATCGCTTCTTTATAAAAGCAAATTTGGAGGTAAACACTCCTTTGGGAAGGAAATATATTGGGTCCCACAGCCTCTGTGTCTGTGTGCCCACACAGCCACTGTGCCAGGAGAAAAACTCCTCTTCCGTTGGTTCTGAAAAGATCATCCTAAACAGAGAGGTCTGTAAGTTGTCTGGGTGACTCTGGGGAAAGTCTTTCACCCCAAAGGGGTAGTAGCACTATTTTTCACCAGTAATCATTAAGGGACCCTGGAAGAAGTAAAGTGATAATATATCTCCCAATATGAAAAGGAAATGGTCTGCATGGATTAAAGGAGGTCAACACAGTAAAACCATGCTAGTAAGACATTCAAGTTATTTTTGCTGCTGCCTCTCATTCCATCCAGGAATCTGACATTTTCGTGTTCTTGCTCCCTTCCTGCTATCAGCTCAAAGGCTGATCTGAAATCAATCATTTACAGCTTAGGGAGACTGTTTCAGAGCCAAGGTAGACCTCAGCGAATCACTCAGGGGCCTATCCCCAGAAGTTCCTGGGCTAGAGAAGTACATGCAGCTCAAGAATTTAATACACATGTGCAGTGGAATTGCTTGCTACTATTTCCTCTATTTTTAATACTTTTATGGCAAGTGTATGGTTTTTTGCTACAAAGGGTCAACGACATTTTTGTGGACTGGCATGACAAGATAATGATTATTTTTTAAACATCATTTCAAAGGGGGGGTTGTATAACTCAAATTTCAAAATTATTAACATTCATACTTATAAAAAACAATGTTTCTAAATTTTGAATTACATGGATGCTAAATCAGAAATCAAAGGTAGTTAAACACCACAAACTGCTCTTGAAGAAACATATTTGCCTTTGGAGTCAGAGTCTGAATATTACTGCTGAAAATAATGGGAAACCACAGAGGTCATGAGGAAGAGTGACAAAATAAAAGTGACATTTACAGAAAATCAATTTGTTAGTGGTGTGGAGAATGAACTAGAAAAAATAGAGGTGGAGCAAGCAAATTAGAAAACTCCTGTTGTATACAAGCCACAATACTGCATATTTTACACATCTAACCTCACTTTCTCATCATGACAACAATCTGCTGTAGATATTTTGACATTCGTTTTATAGTTGAGAGAACTGAGGCTCAAGGAAATAAAATAGCTCTTTCAATGTCACATTGCTATTCAATGTAAGTGCTAATTTGGGGAAAGAGAGAGTACAGAATAGGCTTATGACACACTAGGACCTAAGATCAGTTACTTTGATGATCCTCTCCCTTGAACAGTGCTTCTAACTTGGCCGATCGCTAGAAACACCTGAAGAGCTCTTTAGACTACGGAGTCCAGCATCACACATCAGAACGATTCTGATGATAAGTCAGTTTTGGGAACCTCTGCTGTCATCCAGATGACCTTCTGGTTACTGAAAAAGAAACTAAGCCCAAGGGATAGTTAATTCATCATTTGATCTATTAAATTTGAGATAGTGGCAGGGCACCCAGTAGGATCTCTGCATAATTTTGCTGGAGATAGGAGACCAGAGCTGGGAAGAAATGTCAGAAGTAGAGAAATATATTTTGGATTTATCTGCATGGAGGTGATAGTTGGAGTCATGAAATGTCTTCCAGGAAGAAAAAGAGGGGGGAAGGAATAGAGACTGAGGGCAGAGGTGGAATGGGGGGAGGAACTCACAGGTAGATATAACTGAGAGCATTTAGACAAAAGCAGAACGAGGAAGATAAACTGCCGTGACTATAGTTTCAAGGACATTTGTGTATTAATGATGCCTGTGGTATATACTCACTCCAGTTTTCCCTCTGACCTCTAGTCCTAGAAACCCTACTTAAAACACCTCTGTTAGTGGGGCACCTTGGTGGCTCAGTCGGTTACGTGTTTGACTTTGGCTCAGGTCATGATCTCGTGGTTTGTGAGTTTGAGCCCCGCATTGGGCTCTGTGCTGACAGCTCAGAGCCTGGAGCCTGCTTCGGATTCTGTGTCTGCCTCTCCCTTGTTCACTCTCTGTCTCTCTCTCTGTCTCTCTCTGTCTCTCTGTCTCTCTCTCTCTCTCTCTCTCTCTCTCTCTCTCTCAAAAATAAATAGACCTTAAAAATTTTTGAAGAAAAAAAAAAACCTCTAGTAGTATAAAGATTCTTCAAACTCATCATGTCCCAGAATGAACCCAAGACCTCCTCCTATTCCAAACCTGGTTTTCATACAGAGTTCTTTTTTCCAGTGAATGACATTTGTATACTCCAAAAATGTATGGTTAGTATCTTTGCCTCCATATCCAATTCATCTATAAGCCCTAAGACTTTACATGAATATCTCTGAAATTCATCTATTTCTCTTCATTACTACTGCCACCATCCCAGTCCAAACTACCATCATCTTTCCCCTGAACTGCTGTACTTAATCCCTAACTGGTTTCTCTACATCTGTTCTTGACTCTTCCTAATTGGTTCTCCACACTGAAAACAACATGGCATTTCAAATCTGATCTTGTCACTCTCTAACTTAAAATTCTTTAGTACTTCCCATGGCTCTTACAATCTTACAAGACTCTGAATGACCTGGTTCCTGCTTACCTCTCCAGCCTCATCTTGCACATTCTCCCTTTGTTCAACAGACCCTTTACACCAACCTGCCTCTATAGTTTTGCTCACACTCTTTATCTGTCCCTAGAATCCTCCCAGTGTGCCCCTTCCCCTCCTACACACACACACGCACACACACACACACACACACACACACACACCCCTTGTCTTAGTTGACTCCAACGCACTCTTCCTGAACACCCATATGAATAAATTCTTGCTGGAAACCTTCAATAACATACCTCCCTTTGTCTGTTCCCTTACCCCATTATACCACCTCATAGCATAATGTGACTTTACAGTTTTATCAGTGTGTAATTATACATCTATTTGAGATTATATGACTTTTTCCTTCTTTAATTAACTATAAACTCCCTGAGATAGTATTCCTAATATTAAACATGACTTGCTGGATGGTAACAACAAATACTTATTGAATTTGATCTGCTGCATTGGACCAAGAGGCTGTCAACAGAATTCAGCTTAAAGTTCAAAAATCAAATTTCAGGATCATGTTGGGGTCAAACTAGAGGAGAGGTAGCCCTAGGGTTCTGTACCTCATGTTCAATGCTTCACAGATGTGCAAGTGAGACAATCTGCCTCAAAGAAAGGAAGCAAAGACAGTCTACCATCTCATAGTACTGTTGTAAATATTAAAGTATGCAAGACAAAGTATTTTATAAGCTGTAGTAGCTGTTGTTCAGAGACTTGTGTTAAGCCTATGTAATGTGATATAAGATTAATGAAAGTAGAGAAAGGCTTTCATTCAAATTCAGTGCATGGAACAGTGCCTGGCATGTAGTAGAGCTCACTAATTGTCAAGAAATAAGTTGCTTTCCCTCGTAGTAAAATAAGTTAAGTTAATGGAACACTTTGTTGAATGACTGAATCCTAATCTCTGAAGCATCAGGCTGTCCTTACGGGAATTTAAAGATTCTGAAAAATAAGATAGAGTCACTTATACAAAGGAGTGTTTAAAAACTAAGATGGTAAAACACACAAATTATCCCTGTAAGATAACTTCAAAACCTATGTCCCTAGTGAATTGCAATAGCAATTCTTGTCACCCTCTAACTTAATCCTTGAAAACCAACTTGTGCATCATTTCCTCCAGAAAGCCAGTCTTGACTCCCCATGCTGGGTTAAGTACTCACCACAACCCCCAACACAAATAGAGCTACCACTCCCTAAACTTCTGCAGCACCGCAGAAATCTCTAACCAAACTTTGTCCTACTGCTTTGAAATTCACTGATGTCTTTCCACCACTCTTTAAGGTCCTTCAGGTCAATGAAATTATCTTATTCTTCTAATGGTTGCTAATTCCTAACATAGTATCTGGCACTTAGTAGATGCTAAATAAGTTTTTGTTGAAGTGAACTGAATTCTTGAAGACTTTCATAGATGGTATCAATTTTATAACCTGATTCACTCATGCATTAGGTTTCGGCCAGTTTCCAGCTAATCCCTGTCCATACCTGTAAGGAATGATAACATATCATTTCATAAAGACTTTCTGGACCATTTTCAGGGTACCAAATGTCATTTTAAAAGAATTCTGATCAATACTAGTT